GTGGATTTTCTGTTAACTCACTCACTCACTCACTCACTTTATATTCTGTACTGAGAAAAATGACACGCTTCTTTTTATGCACATAAGTTTAAAAAAATATATATCATATCTTATTTTTACCAAAGACGTAAGAAAATATTTTAAGACACATGCCATTGAAGAACATCAAGATCACTTGATTAGAGAGATAGTAGCCGTGTTTTTCTGACCTTGCTTTTTCCTTTTTTGACGTGTTTTTCCTTCAGGAGGATCTTGTCATAGGCATGACCTCTGTGTAACGTCCCGTCGTCATGATAGTGTAGAGTCTGTGCAAATGAACATGTGTTATATTTATAAGGCATATAGAATAATAGTGCCTTAAATGTTAATGTTTTTGTTTGATGTTTGGTTCATTCCACCACACGATGAAACAATGCCCAAATCTATGACCATATGTCCGAATAATCTAAATATTTTAGATATTTAAATACTTACCTTACGCCGTGGTAATGTGCATGTTACCTTGCTCATTCAATACAAAGATTGGGAACGTGATCGATAAGTATCCTTGTTGAATTCTACCATGAAACGGAAGCACGCCCCCAATCCCGTCATGTGACAGTGAGAACATGTAGTTTTATCCTAAATCCTGAGGTCCGGGCAGGTAGGAAGCGATCCAACGTAATGTGCGTGTTGATCGGACAGTAGTGAGTGAGTGGGTGATGTGAGGGACAAATTATCATTACCGAGAGAGATGGTAAGGCTGCGTTAGTTGCTGAGCTACCACTAGCGGGCCAAAGTACTGAAGTCCCTGAACACCTTCGACAGCCATCCCTGGCTGGTGAAGACTGTATTAGATCTCCAGAAACAACACTCGATAATGGTTGGGACTCCATAATGGCATGGTAGACGCCAAGGCCCGAATCTCACGTGGGTTGATGGCGATGGGGGTGATGTGAACCAGCTGAGTCGTAGGCTGCGAGGATGGTCCAGTGAAGCCACAAAGCGATGGTGTTTTTGTCTACCTCACCCTTGGCCACAGAGGAGAATGGGATGAAAAAACGTCTCCTTGAGCGTCTCTTGGCTAATGATTTATTTGTGTCCTCTTTGAGGGCTGTGACAGGACACAGGACGAGTTCCTCTGCATCAGCCCTTCCCACTGTGGAGGACAAAGAAGGAACAACGAACATTCGGTCCGGTTGTCGACCAACTTGTTCTTGGCAAAGTCCAAGAGGAAACCCAAATGGATGGAACCATGATGTGTCTGTTAGAAGCGAATTCTCGTTACTTCTATGGGATGAATCTCACTGACTCTGGCTACCGTAGCGAGAGCCAGGAGGAAGGCTGTTTTCCTGTACAAGTCCTCAAAAAGCTGCTCTCGTAAAGAGATGCACGAAGGTGTTGCAGAACCATGTTGAGATTCTAAGCTGGAGGTTGGAATTTGAACTTCAGGTCCTCCAACTCAAAAGCTTTAACTATGACCAGAAGTTCAGGGATCTTGGAGACGTTCCTTTTAGACTTGGCGGCCAACACAGATTTGAGGACTGCAAAGTAGGTGGAGATCGTACCACCCTTCAGATGACGAGTATTGCACAGGTAAAGGAGGAATTCCGCAATAAAATGAAGAGAATCTTTGACTGGGTTCTTAGAACACTCTGCACAGAACTTCTCAAAACGAGGACCATTTGTCATCATACAGGTTTTGGGTGGAAACTCTTCGGTTTAGAAGACTCTGCCTCAGACATTTCACTCTATCATCCATCGCTGAATGTAATATTGGAGGGGCAGTGGTCGTCTAACTGGATGAATGGTGAGAGGAAACGTTGAATCAGTCTCCCTCTGAGAGTAAGATCTTGGAGGGACTGCCATTCCCTTAGTGTGAGCGGTTGTGACAGTCCCCGTAGAGTGAGGCCTAGGAACTTCTGTATGGTGGAACCCTGAGGAGGTCTTGGCCCATCAGGAACAAATCCCTGGTGAATGTCAGTTGTTGAGACCGTTCTTGATGGGACATTTTGCGGTTGATAATCCCACCGAGTTGGTGGAGAAGCTTGAGCACAAAATCCCTTGGTCTGCGTAGCAGCTGACACTACATCAGACAATCGTCGATGTATGGGTCAAACTCGATCCCCAAAGATTAAGGTAACAACTGATCGGTGCTGTGATCCGAGTGAAAAGCCACGGGGTCGTGGAAATGCCAAATGTCAGGACTTTCTATTGGTAATGTTGGTCGTCGAAAGTGAACCTGAGGAACTTCCGGTGAGGTTCGTCGATGGGTAAGTGACCAGCCAATCCTGTGGGGACAGCTTGTAACACAGCTGGTCCAGTGACAGCATGTGGAAATGTGGCATCACCCAAAGATACAGCTTGTTGAAAACCGCCAAGTTCTGTATCATCCGCATCTTGTCTGAGTTCTTCTTGGGGACAAAGTAGATGGAGAGTAGAACCCTGGGGAGTCTCTGGGCTCTAACATTTTCTCTATAGCACTCTTGTCTAGCAACGTCTGTATGTTGGCGGACAGTCGCTGGTGTATAGCGCGGGAATACTCGTGTGACCAGGGCAGGTTGGTCAGAGGCAGCGACTTGGCTATTTGCAACTGGTAGCCCGTCTTGAGGATATTGGTTACAAAAGGGTCTTCTAGGAATGTCCAGATGGACCAGAAGACCCTGTGTCTCCCGCCTACGGATATATCGTGGATATGGACGACTGGGGGCGGGAATGTCCTGCATATTAGCGTCATTTGTATTTAGGCTTCCAAACGGGACGACGTTAAAAGTCATTGAAACATTATCTGTCGCGGGCTCTCGGGGCTCCACGAACCACATCCCTCCTTGACTGGTAGAGGTTGAAAGATCTGGAAGTCGTTGATGACAGGTTTGCTAAGTGATACAAAGACCTGAGCACTATCTCCGTTTGTGTTATGCTCCGATCTTGTCCACAAACAAAGTCCACAAACAAAGTCTCTTCATCAATTCCTCCTGCCAGTAAGGAGTAAGCAGCCCAGTCCTCCGAATCACATTGGTGGTGGCTAGCACTGAACGGATGTGACCTACCACGTCGGAATTGGCCCTTGCCAGAGGAACATAGTGGCTAGGTGATCCAAGAGTGAAGTATTGTCCACAGTTAGATCCTATGACATTGCCTCCGTGGCCGAGGCGAGAACTGAGAGGCTGAGGCTTCAAAGTCCTGTGTAGTTCAGTGTCTATAGTAACACCTTCACATTCAGAATTGTATATTGGTGCTGTATGCCTATTGCAGTGTTGAGGCGAGCGTCTGGGAGTGCAGCACCGAGCGTCATGCAATGGTAGACAACGGAAAGAAAAGGGCACCAGAAATGGTCAAACACAAAGTCCAGACTAACCAAGGGAGTACCGAAAGTGAATAATGACACGAGGCGAGAAAAAAACAACCAACCAAAGCTGTACAGCAAGAGAAAACAGCAAACTGTTTGTAGAATTGTTAGATCATGGTAGGATGATACAATAGGAAAACCATACCATAGCAAAAACCAAAGATACAGTAAAATAACCAAAATTAGTTAGTTTCCCACGATTCAGGTCCAAAGTGTAGGTGATAAAGTGATGTGTTCTCGTTGTCATATGATGGTATTGGGGGCGTGCTTCCTCTTGCCGAACGACATCGAGTCATTGGTTTCATGATAGGATACTTTTAGGATCAATTACGTTTCATATCTTTGTATCGGATGACAAGGTAATATGCACATCACCATGAGGTAAGGCTAGTTAAACATTTGTTTTTTGACTAAGGCAAAGGGCCAATCTCGTGACTATATTTTTCTTCACATACCAGTTTCCAGGTCGTTTCGTATGTCACAAAATACAGATTCAGTCTGAAGTGAATTGACGATATATTGTTTAACCAAACCGCCACCACCCAACAAACATCACCAACAAAAGGGTGCAATGGGTGCCGGGGATATTGGAACGTATTCTTCCGTCCTTCATTCTTCTCAAAGGGGTCACAATTCCAAACAAATTTCTAAAAGCTATTTAAGTTGGAGACACTGATGTAACTGGTCATGCTCTAAAATGAGTTTGAAAGAATGTGTCTCAAATTGATGTTTTACAGAGTTAGAAAAATAGTTTGGTGATCTATACCTTCAGTTGTTGGCGATCTATAGCCAGTTTTATATTGTATTGTCCAAATAGTGCTATTAGTTTTAATTTTCCACACTAGTTTTAGTTGTAATTTTGATATTCGAGTTGTTTTACTGTCCTTCGTCGACAGGTTTTATAATATACATCTATTCCATTTCAATGTCACATATGTTCTCGTCACGATATGGCTGAAATATTGCCGATGTGACGATAAATTTTAACTCACTCACTCACTCACTCGTCACGATATGGCTGAAATATTGCCGATGTGACGTTAAATAATAACTCACTCACTCACTTTTACAGAGTTATGCCCCTTGCTTTATAATTTTTAGCACACTGCAAACGCGTTTGATAAAATGGTGTCTTAAATTAGTTTATACAGACTTAAATGGCCCTTGCTGCATGTTTTCATGATAATGCAAACCGCATGAAGCTTTGAAGTTACATGAAGTTCCATGCATATGAAACAGGTAATTATCAGCACTTAATATTCCCCGGAGTTACTTCCCTTGCTACCTGTTTTCTGAAATTAGCCCATTTTTTTGTCTTTTTGTCCGATAGCATAGTTTTTAAAGAGGACACATATTCAAGAACGTTATTCAAGACTGCCTTGAAAAGTCGACGCTATAAAATAATATTTTCTCAGGGCGTTTTGTCTGTATCTATTTCCTATGTACTCGTTTCATCTGATGACATAAAGCGATCGTAGTGTCTATCTGTTCTTAAAGCTTTATATGTGTGTTAATAGTTTACATATATGTATAGTTTCATATTATTCATTACTATATGAACAGTCACAATTCTAATGTGCCCGCGGGCGGGGAAAGTGACAAGGTTGTTTTCTTGTTGACAATAGTTTGAATCACAGAGTGGTCTTACCTTGTGGTGAGTTCTCTCTGCCCTCTCTCATGACTGAAGTGGGAACGAGTCAATGTTCTTCCAGACGGCGTCGTAACCACGTTGTACTTGTGCGTTAGATTTCCTGGATAAGTAAACCAAAGCATGTGTTATAATTGAACTAAATTTTAGTTTTCAGTTAAGCCATGAAAATGCATGTCAGCTGTGCCCGTGAGCATGATTTTACGCCGCTTTCAGCAATATTCTCGCAATATCACAGCGAGGGACACCGGAAAAAGGGTTGACACACTGCACCCTTATAGACCATTATGGTCTTCAGCTTTAACTACCGGGTTCTTCAGCTTTCGCTACTACGCCCAAGCGTCCCTGTATCGTACTGAACGCATGCACGTCATACTTGTACTGTTTGATTCCTGCTCTATGACACCGTCCTCAACTAGCGATGCAGCACAACACGTGGCTGTTTTCTACAAGGAGTAGCGGCGGTAGGGTAGCCTAGTGGTTAAAGCGTTCGTTCGTCACCTCGATGACGAGGGTTCAATTCCAAAAATGTGTGAAGCCCTTTTCTGGTGTCCCCCGCCGTGATGTTGCCGGAATAATGCTAAAAAGGGCGTAAAACCATACTGACCCACTCACTACAAGGGATAACTCACCTAGGTGATCTAGATCTGTTGTCTCATACGAGTTCGTGCTTCCTCCAGAGTCCTTGACAACAATGACACAAAATGTATACAATGCATGTAGAAATATGCCGCTACACGATGGGATTAACTTAACATTAATATTAATCACCGCAAATGTATATCAGAACAAACTCATAATTATAGAGAAGAAACATGGAGCACAAAGTATGCTCAACAGAGTAGCCAGTGTGTCAACCTGTTAAATCTAAGAATTTGATTTTGTACAATGTAATAGCTAAGCTCATACAAGTGCTTATAATATTATATGTGATTTTCATATCGATTTGGCCTTTCACACCCAATGGCATTAGTCTGGGCAGAAAATCGTGGATGCTTTTTCTCTGACATTGAAGTTTTACATATAGTATCGCAATGTATACCCTGACAGTAACAGAGAAAAGACTGGTGACAGCTTTCTTGATGACCACCAGCTCGTCCTCGTCTTTAGGATGGACATGGACCAGGTCAATAGATCCTTTAGTACTTGTCCGAAACAGGAATCTGCAAGGTGAGTAATAAAAACCTATAAAGACGTCTAAAGAATCAGAAGAAGTCTCCAGCAAATGTCACCCAGCAGAATCAAACATGATGGTACGATCACCATGATGCAGGTGTATAAAGAGACAGGTGCTATACACAAGTGGACGAAATACAATTGTTTGATGACCCATAACACATACAAGATCCTAAAACATCAACACAAGAAAACAAATAAAACAAATGAACAGACTCATGCTCAACAGCATTCTTGGGCGGACGTCTCAAGGCATGAAGACTTCTTTCAAGAGCATCCCTTACTTGTTGGATGGGATTGCGGTCAGGTGATCTCGATAGCCACTCCATGACGTCAATACCAGCCTTTTGCAGGATATATGTCAAAACAGCTGTGTGTGGTGTGGCATTGTCATGTTGGAATTGGAGGTCTGGACCATGAGCAGCCATGAACCAGCTCGGGGACAAGGAAATGGTGACGATATCCCGCTGCATTGACGTTCCCACAAATTACGATAAGACGTGAGCGTACGTTCCCGCAGAAAGCTATCCGAACCATTACGATACGACCACGAAATCTGTCAACTTCCTGTTCGCAGCACTGGGCGTGACGTGACGCTCACCGCACCGACGCCTCACTAGCACTCTTCCGTCGGCAAATCGCAGCGTAAAACGAGGTTCGCCTCTAAACACAACCCTATTGCATTCTCTTTGGTGCCAGCGCAGCTGCAGTTGTGCCAGCGTTCATTACGGTTTACCTCAGAATCAGGACGTCGGGCACGAAGATGAACAGCGCGCATGCGGTTTCGTGTGGCCTGGGCAGTTAAACGACCCCTACACAGCTTATTTCTGGTTGACGTTGCGGTCATAAAACATCACGCAAATGATGTAACCGAATTTGATTGCCCTCGACATGCATGTGGTGTCACACGTGGCCGTTCTGACCTGGGGCGATCAGATGTCGTACCTGTTCGATGCACAAGTGTCCTCGGTTTGTAAATAATTGTTGTCCGTCTACTGCATCTCATGGAACGTACAGCAGCCATTGTAGACTGGCCAGGTTGGAGAATGCCAAATGCATGTTCACGTTCAACAAATCTCAAATCATCCAAAGGCGCCTGATTGACACTAAGCGTACCTATATAACGTGTATGTCAACGGTTTGGGAGGGAGAACGGACATCCGCACTGACACATATGCCCACCTCACACATCCCTCCAGCCCCAACCCCATTTCAATCAAAACAAACATTTGTCAATTCCAAACTGATGTAAAGAGGTATTATATCGATCGTATATCGATTAGTGCCATTCAGGACTCACGTTAATCTTCCAAAACGATCCGTTCGGTGCTATGAAAATAGTGCTCGCTTATATTACCTGCTATTTATCATCAACTCACTCAGTTCAGTGCTTAGGGTCATTCACTTGTATAGTTTTTATGTAGACATAACCATTTCATGACAAAAGCACCGGGAAGAACTCTGTCATGGCAACACGTGATTGCTACGTTAACCACCTCCTGCTGAAGACAAAACCATAACTACATGTCCGTAACAGCTTGTAAAGATACTCACATTGTTTCAAATTCCAACCTTTTGGGTTACTGAAGTCTGCAAAATAGGAAAACATATTTGTTTTGATAGTGAATACACATTTTCGAAACCACAATATCAGGTAGGTGACACATTGCGACCAAACGATTCTCATTTCCCTCGGCTTTTACGATCATTATTATCTGAACATATATTATGACAGGGTTTATCTGAGGATTGTATACTGAACAAAGGAAGAAACTTCACATTTGGAGAAATGAATTAAATTGAAAATGGGTAGTACAAGGTTGTTTTGTTGTTTAACGCCGCACTCAGTAATATCACGACTATATCAAGGTGGTCTGTAAGTAATCGAGTCTGGACCAGACAATCCAGTGATTGACATCATGAGCATCAATCTACAAATTTGGATACGATGACATGTGTCACAACAAGACAGCAAGCATGTCCACCCGATATCGTTAGTCGCCTCTTACGACAAGCATGAGTTGCTGCTCTGACCCGGATCTTCAGGAATCGACAAGGTAGTTAATGTGGGCAAATACCATAAAGCTAGGTCTGACCTGGATCTTCAGGGGTCTACAAGGTAGTTAATGTGGGCAAATACCATAAAGCTAGGTCTGACCTGGATCTTCAGGGGTCTACAAGGTAGTTAATGTGGTCAAATACCACAAAGCTAGGTCTGACCTGGATCTTCAGGGGTCTACAAGGTAGTTAATGTGTGTGAAGCCAGGGTCTGACCTGGAATTCAGGGGGTCTGCAGGTAATGGGCAACAAATGCTTGTGGTCTGACCTGGACCTTCAGGGTCGACAAATACCATAAAACTAGGTCTGGACCTGGATCTTAGGTCTGACCTGGGGGTCTACAAGGTAGTTAATGTGGGTCATATGACCTGGATCTTCAGGGGTCTACAAGGTAGTTAATGGGCCAAATACCTGACCTGGATCTTCAGGGGTCTACCAGGATCATAAAACTAGGTCTGACCTGGATCTTCATGTGGGTCTGGAAACTACAAGGTAGATTAATGTGGGAAGGTTAATGTGGTCAAATACCACAAAGCTGGACCTGGATCTTCAGGGGTCTACAAGAGTAGTTAATGTGGGTCAAATACCACAAAGCTAGAGTCTGACCTGTATCTTCAGGGGTCTACAAGGTAGTTTAATGTGGACAAATACCACGAAGCTAGGTCTGACCTGGATCTTCAGGGGTCTACAAGGTAGGTAATGTGGTCAAATACCATAAAAGCTAGGTCTGACCTGACGCATCCATGACCACGCATTCCAACTGTGGTAAACCACGCGGGTGCATGCAGCACGCTCTTTGTGAAATCGCGACCCTGCACGTGTGCGGGTTCACGTGACCACAGTTTCATGTTCCTTGCTACCAACCCGTGAAGATCCGGGTTAGAGTTGATCTTCAGTTACCCATGCCTGTCGTAAGAGGTGACTAACGGGATCGGGTGGTCAGACAAGCTGACTTGGCCGACACATGTCATGGTATCCCAATTGCGTCGATCAATGCTCACGCTGCTGACTGCTCACTGTATTGTCTGGTCCAGACTCGATAATTTACAGACCGCCGCCATACAGCTGGAATATTGCTGAGAGCGGCGTAAAACTAGACTCACTCACTCCTAACTGCCAGTGTACTGGCTAGAGTACTGTGGCTGTTACGCGTGCCCTGAGATGCAGAAGACGGATCGCCCCAGGTCAGGACGGGGGCGTAACGCCACATGCCGGCTGCGTCAGTTGATGACCGCAAGGTGAACCGGTATCGCACCATTTAGGGAACTCGAAACTGTTTATGCCGATTCTGACCGAGGTAAACCGTAAAAGAATGTCTACGCTGGGCACAGTTGCACATGCACTGGGACCAGGAGAATGAAATGGGGTTGTTTATACGGTTTACGCTGCGATTTGCCGCCGGAAGAGTGTGAGCGTGGCGTCGGAACGCTGAACGTCAACTCCAGTGCTGCATACATGAAGCTGATCGATTTCGTAGCGGCAGCGTAATAGTTTGGGGAGCTTTCTGCGGGAACATGACCTCACGTCTTCTCGTAATTGGTGGGAACGTCAATGCAGCGGGATATCGTGACCATTTCCTTGACCTGGACCTGGTTCGTAGCTGCTCATGGTCTAGACCTCCAATTCCAACATGACAATGCCACACCACACACAGCTGTTTTGACACATATCCTGCAAAATGCGGGTATTGACGTCATGGAGTGGTCACAAGACCAACTGACCACAATCCAATCGGACACGCATGGGATACTCTGTGAATAGTTTTCGTGCCTTGAGACATCAACCAACCCCAGAATGTTGAAGTGCTGGGCGCCAAGTTGGTACAGCAATGGTGCAGGTTGCCTAACGCTGTGTTCATGGGTGTTCAATGAGACAACGTTGTCTTGCTGTTGTGAACACGAGAGGGGCATACGCGGTACAGAACAAACATCAATACAGATGAAACAAAATAGCGACCCCAGCATCCTACCGTTGACTTTAAAGGGTGCACCTGACGCAGCTTAATGCCTTATCATCGATAACCCGGATTTATCCCTAGCAACACACTATAGGGGTTCCGCCATATAGCTGGAATATTGCTGAGTGCGGCGTAAAACTAAACTCACTCACTCACTCACTAAAACTAAAGGGGTATGTTTGGGACATAAAGTGACACATGTGAGGTTTCGTTTTTGTGTTTAGTATATATGTATCAAGATGTTGTTGGACAACAATACACGTGAAAGAATACTCACATCTGCCATTTGCAAACTGCACAATACTGATCACACGTAACGAATGCAGTCTCCCGCCATCCTCTGTCGTACTGAGGGCTCTGATCTTGAACTGAAGGTATTCAAAAACACCAATGCGGTCATTAATTCCGTCAAAGTATTCTAGTTTGGCTTACAATTTTTGGGGGGATAATTTACAAGTCAGCGCCATAGAATAAGTTTCGATTATCTCCGAAACAGATTTCAATAGAAGTAAACGGTATATCTGTGATGAAATTGGTATATTTTGCAATATATGAAATTACTACACTGTTCAAGCTTGAGTCCTATATATAGTTAAGCGGTGTACAAGGCTGTGGGAAAAGCGTGTCGACCACTTAGTTTGAATGTCAGGAGCTGAAGGTTTCCTATAAATATTGAAACTTTGAAAATGCATGTTCACATTACAGGTTAATAATTACAACTTACCTTCAGAACAGTGGTGATATTTTTATGGCCGAACAGTTCCGACACAGAGGAGTAGGTATACTGATGGTCGTAGTCGTCTTGGAAGAAATACCCTGACTGTATGAGCACAGTAGCAGGAGGGGGTGGCTCCCCACCCAGCCGGCGCTCTTCATGATAGCGGTGTACGCGCAGCTCTGGAGGAACCTTAGCTAACAGCCTACTGTATATACCTGACAAGTTATTTTTATTATCCAATGCACTTACAGCAGTTTAGCAGGCGTTACAAGCAATGTGAGTGACAGAAAGATAACGTATTCAGTTTGGCTGGGTTTTATTTAACTCCTAACCAGAGCTGTCGAAAGAATACATTCTGTCTTATCAAGCGTATATAACAGATCATGGCGTACAGCTGAACACACCGCAGGCTTGTCATGTTGCGTCTGGTTTTCTTCTTTGTTATATCGGGGCTGTTCCCACACGACAGTCATTCTACCGACAACTCCTTCCACCACAACGTGGACTTCACAACTGACGACAATGGAGAACGGTTCAAGCTTCACAGTTCTGGTGTCCTCAGTGATGTTGTTGATCTTGATAGTGTTGATGGACTAAAGGTATGTGGGTATGAACGGTTGCAATGAATTGTGTGTACATATATAGTTTGAGTGAACCAATCTGATACTCCATGCAGAGATACGGGTTGTCCTTCCAAAACTATGACGCCACAGTCCGTTGCACATTTAAAGTTGCGTCCCGCATTCGTGCCAGGATCCGATGGTCGAAATTGATAAAATGCTGTTCAAAGCGGTAAAATTCAGAACATATGCATTTACTCGTCTATAACATTTCACAGATGACAGAAAGCATTATGGATTCTTTAGCACAATTTGATTTTTGTGGAGACGTTCTGGTTCTAATTTCTGATAAAGTAGATTAAAAATATGATCATATGTACATGTATGACCGAGTACCGTTGACCAAATCTGGCGTGGGTTGGCGTGTCTTGAGGACAATGGGTACACAGGCGATACTGACATTTCAATTCCATATTGCAAAGTGATTTACTTGCACGTTAGGAATATCTTCCTTTCAGGCCTGACATTGGTATAATTCCTTTTTTCTGCTTATTAGTGTATATCCCCGACAATATGCTGTTAGTTGGAAACTAGTTTCAATAGCCACCCTACAAGGGTTTCATATTTATGATTCATTTTGTGGATTTTGATCTGATTTTGAAAATATTAGTAGAAACTCGACATCTACTTATATTCAATTTTAATAATTAGTAACAAGAATGATCACGAGAGGACACATATTTTCCAGCGCCTCGTGTGTGTGGATGACAGGATCCTGTTGGTGACCACCCAGAAGGATGTGGGCAGGGACTGGAGAGTGGGTCAGCTCATCCTGGGGAGCACAACATGGAGGTGTAATGCGTCACAGGGATCTGGTGGAGATGGAATCTATGCTAAGATCTCCAGCATCTACTTTCCAACTGAATATCGTATTTCCATACACGTTGTCCCTGCTGGGTGAGTGATTTGATTAGTTTTATACATGATGTTCAGAAAGGAATTTCGACAACTCCAATGTTCAGCAAATGAAGATTTCATAAAGATCCAGATTGGCTTCTGATTCAGTGGTACAGGTTCATTACATCTCTGTCTCTCTGAATCTAAATCTGTAGAAGGAAAACTGAAATATCACGTAAACCCGAAATTAGGCCAAACTGTCGGGATCTCGCATACCTGACTCAAATCAGGAATGACGGAGACCGGTCTCACGTGGACCATCACGTACTGTCTGAGTAAGCTTCACGTTAAGGGAGGTCAAGATTTTCAAACCATTTCTGGTTGTGACATGTGTAGTGACTCCGTGACGGAGACCGGTCTCACGTCGACGATCGCGTACTGTCTGAGTAAGCTTCACGTTAAGCCATTTCTGTGTGTAGTGACTGTGACGGAGACCGGTCTCACGTCAACGATCGCGTACTGTCTGAGTAAGCTTCACGTTAAGCCATTTCTGTGTGTAGTGACTGACGGAGACCGGTCTCACGTCGACGATCGCGTACTGTCTGAGTAAGCTTCACGTTAAGCCATTTCTGTGTGTAGTGACTGTGACGGAGACCGGTCTCACGTCGACGATCACGTACTGTCTGAGTAAGCTTCACGTTAGGTGATTTCTGTGTGTAGTGACTGTGACAGCGTGGTGACGTTTTGCTGAAATCAGGAGAGCTGTGTGCAACGATTCTATCACAATATATCCAAGCATAGGTTGTCAAACACTAGCTCTCTATCTGTTCACCATTAAACTGTGAAACTGTAGGGACACCAAGTCAGTTTGTACTGGGATAGTCATTTTAGTCATTATTTAATAGAATGTTTCTGTTTCTATCATGCAAAAGTAATCATTTGAGTAAATATATACGGGACAAAAAAAGAAACAAAAAGAAAGTAAATCGAGATTGTTCATGTAATTGAAAATGTAAGGAATCGTTGTTTAATTTCAGTATGTCTTGGACCAGTTCACATTCCTTTAACAGTTTGTACAACAAAGTGAAGACAGGGCGATATATATATATGAGTGATATTTGGTTATAGTATTAGTCTCACCAAATGTTATACGAGCGACAACAACTCTAACACTCACATTCATTGCCTGTATACACTGGACATTAATGCACAACGTTGTCAAATATTCAGAAAAGTATTGGATGAAAACTCCCTGTAAAGTAAGTAATACGTGGAATAAACCTATTCGAAGTTTAGTTTTCGCCCTTCTAAGAAAGAGCAAAACCGACACGATTACAGATGTTTGGTACTTAAAATAAGCATTTCTTGGACATAAAGAAACTCCTTCAGGTCTCTGTTAGCACTATCGGACAGATATTACTTTTGGAAGGAAATGACACACCGGACGAAATGATAATATAATCATGACGCCTACCGGGGATACTTGGAGATAGTAAAACGGATGACAACAATTTAGGAGGGTCTCCTGATAACATTGAAGTGGTGACAGCGCAGCTACTCAAGCTTTGAGCCTTGATAATACCTGCAGTGGGGGCTCGGCTCTTTTGTGACTGAACCGCTTTCGTAAAATGTAGAGGAATACGACCAGAGACAATCATGGTTAATATATTACCTTGAATTAACTAATTTTGCATATGGGGGCAGTCAAAGAATAACCAGTTTCGTTATCTGCCGAAACAGATACCATTTAGCGTAAAACACGGCAGAATATAATAACGGTGGAAATAATGTGGATGGACTGACTGACTGAGTTTAGTTTTACGCCGCTTTTAGCAATATTCCAGCAATGTCATGGCGGGGAACACCAGAAATGAGCTTCACATGTATTCATATGTGGGGAATCGAACCCAGGTCTTCGGCGTGACGATGTTTGGATGATACCGTAGAGGGTGTTCACGAAAGGGACCTGCCCAGTGTCCTTCACTGGAATCTGTTTCCCTCTTCTTCTTCTATGACGTTGATGTTTCGTATTGCACCAGTTGAAATAGTATCGCCTGCATCAGCAACATACAGAACAATCCATCACAAAATGATTTATGTGCACATTGGAGCTCTGTTTGACTATAACAGTGTTTTTCGTGTTTGATACGCCAAGTTAAAATTATTATAGCAAATTAACAAAATTTAATGTAATTACCTTTTGAGATTTGAGGCACTAGTAACGTGCGCTATTGACTGATTAAATCCTTAAAATGTCCACCAACTTCATAATTTACATCAATGTCAATAGGAGCAAGTGGAATACGTTTTATGTTTTATAGCCATAGGGACTTGTATGGCATTGCCGACATCATGGATACATGCGAGCATGTGTAAGCGAATGTCCGAGACAGGTTAAACTTTGCAGTTTTGTAGTTTTTTCCCAACTATAGGTAGGGGTATGATGTTGAGAAACCTACAAAGTCAGGGTTCGAACCCACCATCACGAACACTACCCGTACCTAGCGAAGCAGACTACTGGGGTGTATTTTAAGAAATTAATGTATATTCATAACTGTTTAGCTTGGTCATGTTTGCAGGGTGTGAAACTTTCATACAAAGTCTCTACAACAACTGGAAAAACTTCAACTGCCAAAAGTGGCAGATATGATTTTAAGCTGTCGAATTTCTAATCGACTTTCACAAGTAGCAGACAAGTTGAATGTGTTCAAGACTACGATAACAGCTGTCTCGCGTAGGCCACCCCGATTTCATTGTTCAAGACCCGTGAAGATCCGGGCTAAAATAGGTCTTCAGCAACCCATGCTTGCCACAAAGGCAACTATACTTGTCGTAAGAGGCAACTAATGGGATCAGGTGGTCAGCTTCGCTGACTTGGTTGACACATGTCATCGGTTCCCCATTGCGCAGATCGGTGCTCATGCTGTTGATCACTGGATTGTCTGGTCCAGACTCGATTATTTACAGAGCGCCGCCATATAGCTGGAATATTGCAGAGTGCGGCGTAAAACTAAACTCACTCACTCACTCATGCTCTTCAACGTGTAAAAGATCCGCCAGTAGTGTAACAATATGTCAATATGAGTAACCGTACCATATATTTCTCAACACCAGCAATATTTCCATGTCAAGCATCATGTTAAGCCATCATCAAGCATTGTTTCGGTCACTTGTTTATGACCATGCCACGCACCGTCGTTTGTTATGAACATTTCATATCTTTTATGCAATATGTTTGTCCTTACTATAGTGCCTGGTTCTGACAGATGCCTTGATCACAGGTAGTGCAGTAGGGCATAGATCGAGAGTGAACATGACTGAACGATTAATGGTTAAAGCCACAATAAAATACGTTTAAGGTTTTATATAGCATTGCCATGTTTTCCTAAAAGAATTTGTTAATTCGATTTCTGTCGACATCAATTGTCAAGGAATGCGATTCAAATGCTGCAAAGAATGGGCGGACTACCCTTGTGTATCACAGAGAAGATATATGCTGATATGTCCTGTATTACTAGGGTCCAATAAGATGCTGTATATATATTTTATTAAGTGCTAAAGAACTCCCCCACGACCCCCACACTCTAAAGACAACCCCATCCCTATCCCCTTTGACATTGTTCTCTTGTAACAAGCTGCCAACTTCTCTGTTAATTCACGGAAATACGAAAAGGGTAGCATAACTAAACATAACTAAACCTAATGGCTGTTCTTTTATTTCAAGGCCTTATGACATGATAGAGGAGGCCAACATTCACTTCCGCTACAGCCCTGGACGATCGGATCTGCCCGTTGAAACCAAGCAGCGTCATCGCCGTTACTTGTCGAACATCCTCACCAAAATACTCGGGACTCTCGACTGGCACGCCAATTTCTCAACCAGAATACCCTTCAATGAACATCATAATCTAAGCAGTGGCCCAGACAAATACTTTGCAGTCCACAAGACCTCAGGTGCGAGACAGTTAAATGTGACATTTTCTCCGTCGCAAGAAGACCTTCTTATGCTGAAGGATGACTTCACTGTGAGGTGCATGGATTGTCATGGAGGAACAGACATGTCATATGTGTTGTGAGTATGTTGTTATATTGTATATCAATGTTGTTATATCACATATCCATGTGTTCAAACCAGCTAGAGCAAGAGTGCAGCAAGAGGTCTTTGGTGTTTTACATGTTGTTCTACATGACTAGGCGTGTAAGTATTTGGCCTAAATGTTGACCTGACAGTCACAGGATTGATAGTGTGAGCACTCATCCACGTCTTGACGGTATGAGGACAGGTAATCAACCAAGTCATCGACCCTGACCCGTTATCCCTTTTTCGGGTCTGACGACCTACAGAATCATTAAAGTGTCGGTAATTTTGAATTCTAACCTAACAAAAAGTCGACACCGTTCACGGATGGTCAAATGGCATAGACTTATTCATCTCATCTCACCTGAAGTTTTTCTACAGATAGAGGTTAAGGCTGAGGTCTACCAGTGTGAAGAGTTGCAAACTTTTTAAACAGGGCAGCCAGACTGGATGGCGGGTGGAATGAAAGGAGGGGTGTATTCCGTTTGTGCATTTATTTTTATCAAGCGTTGGCTTGAGCCACCTACTCTGAAGATGAGGGATATTCCACAGCTTTTTCGTTCCTTTCCGACTATTTGTTTTGCCATATACACAGACAACGCCCATAAGAATTGTATAATTGTGGTCCCAATTCATAGGAGGCTGCTTGCGATATTTGGTCCTTGTTGGATAACAGGCAAAGGTATGTATTGTTATAATCACTTGTGATTATATGAGCAGAAAGTTAGTGGGAGTCTGGCGAGCAGTTGGTAGAAGCATGCTGTGAATGTTTCAGTATTGGTGAATACAATTAGTACATGCATGTGTCATCTGATGTGCTAAGGATCCCAATCGTGGCGAATTAGGCATCCTAATATACGATCGGTGCATCGTTGAAGCTGGTGGACTCAACTCGCTATCAGAAATCACTCTACCAGTCCGTGATATTGCATATCTAGAGTATCTTGAATTTGTCAAGACAAACCGTATACTTTATCATTACAGTGAACTGCTCATAAAGAAGGTAAACAACAAGCCGAAACTGGTGAAATACATATCACAGGTGAGAAGTATCAGTATGTTACCATTCCTTCGAAGAAGAAGTTCATTGTATTTTACGCTTCAGGCCCACATACAGAGTAAACAAAATATACATTAACTTACACAAGTAGATGTTACATGCAGTATTGCATCAATGTGGATACAGAATATGTTTCAATGCGTTATTTCTTAAGATTGTTGCATTATTTAGCTTAGCAGTTATTACGAAGTTAAACCTTTCTCTGCAATGTCACCATTAAATAAATTAATGATACAGCTGATATATTCTGACTGAAATAACATTAGCTTCTTGATAAATAACAGATGTTCGATACACATTCACATATATATTTCTTGCCCCACAGCTCGAAGGTGAATCCCAACTACGGGCTGATATTGAAGTGGAGTTCAACCAGGAGATGGGCGTGAACTACACAACCCCCTGTGGGAGACTGGGCCGATAGAACTCATCCGCATACCCGTGGCTGTAGTCAGGCGACTACCTCCAGTGGAGCTATCTCTTGCTTACAACACACAAGCTCTGGCAAGCGTCTTTGGTTACCGGAGGCTCTGGTAGAGGCAGAACAGGGTTCAGAGCAAGTGGCAGATATACAATATGTGAGTATATGTGAAGTTTACTATGTAGATTAACGTCTTTACTACCAGGTGATGTCATCTGAGAGTATTTGTGTACTAATGTCATGAATGGGATGTAGACATAGGTCCTTGATTGCAATATGCAGTGTCAATATTGTGAAGATTCAATTGCTATATTTTCTCGTCTCTCGTCTATGACACGACAAAGGAGGCGATACACTTAATATTTTAGCGATAATATTCTTATCCTGTGCCTGTCAATGGTGAATGTGTGGTCACTACATCGATAACCCTACATATTTTCTACTTTCGTTCAGAAGTGTGTCACCTTTAGCTTGTCATAGTATGAACAACCTAAATGAAATTGATAGATTTCTCGTTTGCACCTCAAATATTGTTTAAACGTTTCTGTTTTATCATATTTTTCCTAAGACCTTTATCAATATATTTTTTAAAAATACGTGGATAGATACACAATATATCAATAGATCTGTTTTGCCCATCATATATGAGCCATATATTAGTCATATGTATTCTGACAAGGAACTTTATGCTACCTTTTGGTGAAACAATTATCAACGTTATCTTTGATTGTATTGTATGTTTGCATGGTGTACAGTTGGAACATTTGCTTCAGCCTTTAAGATCTGTATCGACACCACACAGCCTGTAGTTATTATTTCAATGCTTAATCCGTTGTAGCGCAGAAGTTTGAGGCATCATCATCGCTACACGGAGACATAACATCTCACGCCTGGACATCGGATGGACAGGACACAGTAGAAGATGGCTGTTCCTGACACATTCAACGTCACCGTCAATGTGTTCCAGAAGGTAGTAGTTGAATGCATTCTTTGATTTGTTTTAGCATGCATGTACCATTTGAGCTTTCATGTACCATTTGAGCATTCATGTACCATTTGCCTTGGACGGTCACTGGATATGTTGTGTATAAGGTTAACGTGTTGCAATGTCACTAAACTATGTTGGGGACTACGTGAAGAGATTTACTTCTGTGTCCCATAGAAGATGAACTGCAATATATATACTGAATCAAAAAGAAACTTCACATTCTTTCTTCAGGGCACTATTAAATAACAAGAGATGGTAAGATGGTTAAATTGTTATTATTTCATTGCTGAGATCTGTGTGATGTACTCGATACACTGACAGTGTCAGACATAATCAGTTCCATTAGGCTACACCGCCGTTCCAAAACATAGGTATACAGAATGTCGAGTCACAAGAATAAAAATGCGAAATTTCTCAGTTCAATATTGTGTATGGCCGCCCCGCACATTCACCACTGCCAAACACCGTCTCTCCCATCGACTGCCTGATGCTTGTGAACACATGGTTGGGGATTCTGCGCCATTGCTCTTGCAAGGCAGCGCCAAGTTCCTGCAAATTCTGAGGTTGGTTCCTAAGACCACGAAGCCTTCTCCCAAGTGCATCCCAAACGTGCTCTATTGGATTAAGGTCGGGGACCACGATGGCCAGTCCATGACGTTGATTCCAGCGTTTTGAAGGAAATTTCGTGTCAACATTGCGGTATGCGGCCGAGCATGCATTATCATGCTGGAACTGTAGACCTGGGTCATGAGCCGCCATGAAAGGAACGAGTTCAGGGGTGAGCACCTGGTCGTGGGAAGCAGCCGCTTTGAGGTTTCCACTGATGACCAGAAGTCGGGAACGTTTTTTCCCACAGAAAGCACCCCAAACCATGCAACTTCCGCCCCGAATCTGTCGACTTCCTGTAAACAACATTGGGCATACCGTTCACGACGTCGTCTCCAGACTCTATGCCTGCCGTCCGCGAATCGGAGGGTAAACCAGGATTCCAGTCTCTGTGGGTCCATCGGAGGTGACGTTGGGCCCACAGCAGACGTTGACGTTGATGAAACGGCGTCAATATTGGCCCACGATATGGACGTCGAGAATGGAGATTGGCAGTCCGCAACCGATTTCGAATGGTCTGTGAGGACAGTCGACCTCTAAACATTTCAGCCCTGGTTCTTGAGCCGGCAGAAATCTGTCACGTAGGTGACGTAGGACGATTTGACGGTCTTCTGCTCGTGACGTCACACGTGGACGACCCGACCTTGGGTGATCAGAAGTGGTGCCAGTTTGTTGTAAACGACTTCGCAAGTCATACACAGTACGACGGCTGCATCCCATTGCTCTTGCGACGTCAATAACTGATCTTCCCGCTTGCAACATGCCAACGGCACGTTCACGTTGCACATTTGACAATCATGGAATTTTGAAGTACCGTTAGAACTGTTGTTTAAAAGTGTTTTTTCAATTCTTGAGGCCAATGCAAACACGTGCATATGAAGAAAACTTGGATGCGAAGATCACGTGATCGACTGCACATGCAAAACCTGATTTGGCACTAACGTCATTTGCACGACGAATCGATGGGTTTGAGTGGGTTTTGCTAACGTTTTTCTAGAGTCGAAAGATAAGGATCCCATTTCGGATACATAGATGTATCATCAGAGAAAAACTTTTCATTTTTTTTTTTTTTTAAATTACATTTTCTGAAGTTTCTTTTTGACTCAGTATATAAGTCAAATGTGAGGTGAGGTGAGGTGAGGTGAGGTGAGGTGAGGTGAGGTGAGGTGAGGTGAGGTGAGGGTGAGGTGAGGTGAAATTGGGTTTTACGTCGTGCTTGAGAATATTTCGCTCATATGACGACGTGCATGTGTGTATGTGTATGTGCGGCAGCTTGTACTAGCCCAGACTTATGCTGGTTTTATAGTGCTAGCCCACTGAGATACCATGCCGCAGTGAAGCATGAATGCCCTACTCAGACATATTATGCTGACTCCGAGCCGACCAGTCCTTGTTGTACCCGTTAATGCCGAGCGCCAGACAGGGACCAACAAGTACCATATTTTTAACGTGTTTTGGCATGATGCGGTCGGGGATCGAACCTGCTACCCTCCGCTCTCAGGCGGACGCTCTAATCACTACACCACGGAGGCGGTCTCAAATGTGAAGGTATACCACTAGTATATGTATTACCGTAAACATATCATGATAACAGCAACTGAGACTGCAGATTGGCTTGTACCTAAACAACATGCTGTCATCTTTTCAGATTTTCTTCAACGCATCTGTTTCCTGGAAAGTAAAGGACATAACCATCAACCTGTACCCGCCAATGGAAATAATGTACACATGTATAGCGTGTTGTGATGTGTCTGTCTGTTCAGTGTATATAGACCTGACAGAATACAGAATAACTAGTGATGAAATAATCAAACAGTTTGTTTGGCAGATGACTAAATAATGCCGTACATATATACGCGTGTTAAATGTAGACTACCAACCTGTCAAGTCGCCTAACAATATATGTACACTGCAATATGTACCTTACCGTAACACGGTTAATACAGTATTGACTTTGAATTTACAGAGGGAAGCCAAGCATGAAAATGGAATCTGTCATTAGTGGACTTGAAGTATGCACTGAAGCGACACTTGCAGTAGATGGATTGTTCTCTGTTGAAAAGTCAGCTCTTTCCGTTGAAGCATTTGGATTGAACATATGGTAAGCACCGAACTTGCTGAAATAGAAGTCATATTGGATAGGATGGGTACAATCAGCAATATTTCCGAGTTATTTTTGGAAATGACACCTTGAGACATAGCGTTATGTTGTGACATGAACTTGCATTACCAGTATGCAAAGTAAAGGTATTTGTTTCAGGGATGTTATGTTAAAATCCAAAATCACGAAGAGAGACACTCACAGAGACCAGCCTGTCCCTGACATGTTTGGCCCATTGTGACGGCCCTGCAGAACTTGGGCCTCCACTCACCTGGGACCAGGTATTGTGGCAGAAATGACTGACAGGGTTGTACGGGGCAGCAGTCTCTTCAACAAGTAAGTTGACATATTTGAATTATTCTGTCCTACAGCATAATCGATAAAGAAAGAAAAAGTAATTTATGAAGGTAGCTTTACTTTATTTCTCTATAACCTGTGCGCCATGCGAACTTCATGCTTCTTTTGATGGATTCAAGATCATAACATCGGCAGCTCAAAGATTTTTTTTCTGTTATTTCTGTTTAAGGATTGTTCATTCTGTTGTAGGTTCGAGGTTTTGGAAGGAACAGACATTGTGTTTGCTGCTGAGGAAAGTGCTCTTTGTGAACTGACTCCATCAGCATGTTCTGTATCTACAACAACCATTCAACAACCATCTGTGCCAGTAGATATGTGACACCTCGTCTTGCCCGTGCAATCACTAAACTGAGTCACTTGGTCAGAACAGAGTGGACAAACGGTATGTATGTGGAGTTTCTCGTAACAGTTTAAACTTTGGTTCGGCGGTATATTTAACAAAATAGCGTTTTCAATGCACATTAAAATACTGTAACACTAATAACATTCGATAAATTACTCTGCAAACATTTTTTGGCAATTTAAAAAAAATATCAGCAGCTGTTCCGGACACCAGGAATTTGTAATAGCAACATTAGAAAACTATGTCCAAGAGACCATGTGTGTGATATAACTAGACTGTATCTCCCATAGCAACACTCATAGTACTAGCTGCCTGGGATGAGCCAAGCCCAGCTTTTTCCTAATGGTCACCATGGAAACAATTCACTACACTACGAAGGTAGAGCTGCTGTTGTAACCTTGACAGGATTTCCAGGTATGTCTTCGTAACTGCTGTAACAGACATTGCCATGTTCTTGTTTGGGCGCAAACACATCACTATAATATTCTGCATATTGTCATCTACGGTCATGTATCAAAGGAATACATATATATTATTTCAGGTGAGACAGTTGTGTACAAAGTTAAAGAAGCGTAAGATGTTTGTCAGGATCAACATTTTTCATTTCTTAGGTTACAAAATGCGTAAGCAAATATCATTTGCTTTTTATGAATCACCTTTATCGAATAACTTATCTGAATAAAAAAGTAAATCTCTCTTTGTAAGGATTCTGTTTAATCGTGGAAGCAGGGGTTTGGGGCCCAGCAACAATTCACTCTCTGTGCGATGTTTTTCTCTGTGCGAGACTAGCAATCCAGAGCTTAGATTTCCCAAGCTCTCTTAGCGCTACGATAGTCGTAAAGTACCATTCATTAACAATAATAACGCATATGTTTCCAGATTCCAGAGTTAAATGATAAACGTCTTCATGGTCATGTTAAACGTGCCTTTAGAAACAAATGCAAACAATTACTGCATATATATATGTTGCTTTAGGATAACCTTTGCATATATGTTTGGTTTCAGGAAAGCAATACGGTGTTACACGCCTTATGTTTACTCACTAACAAACCATATCTTAAGTGTGAATACCATCGATGTATCCTCCTATAGCCGCCAACACCGTTGACAATACGACCTTTGACAGACTGGGTTCCTTTGCGTCTGTTCTGGATTCGACTTTGTCAGCATCAACAGAGACCTCGCTGTTGTGCGTGGCAATGAAGAAGGGCGGTGGGATGAACATAAGTACGGACAAAGCGATGTTTGAGGATCTGATTGCTGACGATGGTAAAGGATGATACATGTCATCACTGATTTGTTTTGATCTGTTCAATATATTTTCATTACACTTTTTGTTGTTTGTCCTCTAGGATCTAAAGCGAACATTAGAGACTGTTGTGTCTGTCATATGATATTATCAACGTTGTTAAGTAAACGTATCTCGTCACAAAAGAATGAGTAAGCACATTATAAAACACAACATACCAAATATTTGTATTTTTAAATATATGTATTTTTAATATCTTCCAGGTGATGACACTCGTTTGCAAAGTGTGCGAAAGAGGCCCCTACTCTGAATGTAGGCGACACCATACCATCCGGAGAAAGCGTGGATGAAGCATGTGGGCCTCCTCAAGGTGCCCTGAGCAGGTTGAACTCTGAAGATATGCAAAGGTATGAAAATACAACACTGCAGGGCTTCTGACTACCCCAATGCATAAACTGTATACAAGAGAACATGTTTATTCTGTACACTAATAATTCCGATGTTCTGTTCTAGGCTGTATCACTACGACATGTGTGATGTTGTGTTCAGGCCTGAGGGGAGTCCCATCAGTGTGTGTGGATTCTCCACCCGAAGATGTAGAACACCTTGTCTACCCTCCATGAACCAAACAGAACCTTGGTCATATTGTAGCACCCGGCTAATGACTCCAAGGATGGCGCTCAAACTAAGACAACTCGCTAAACTAGCACATACAGAAGGCATAGGTACATCCATATAACAGACATGATAATATTTCTATATTATATGTGTTTGTTTGTTGCTTATCCCCGTACTTAATATGCCAGCTATATGACGACGCTATATGCACAATCGGGTTTGGACAAAGAAAGTCCAGCAGCTGATCATCAGTCTCTGTATACAGTTGGGATACGATGACATGCACCGACCACGTCAGCAAGCCTACATCCCGATGAAGTCAGTCGTTTCCCACGAGCATGGTATGCTGTAGACCAATTTTATCACAGATGTTAACGTGTTGGACAGACTATCACCAAACTAAACGTCAATAAGAGTATTTATTGTTATATTGATATTGAAGTGTGATTAAAAAATACTGTAGAAATATATGTATGTTCCGTGTGTTTATTTTATTGCAGGCGTGAACGTTGAAGGGCATTTACTGAGCAGTCAGACACGCCACCGCACTTCAGAGAAGGAAGGTATTATCATTTGTTTTCCATGAACTACTTCCTCTACTCAATAATACAAAATGCAGGAACTTCATGTCCAAGATTCAATGTTAATTTACTTGGTGTTAAGAATACACCAGGGACTATGACCATTCAGCATCGCACCCTTGATAAAGCCACCTCTTCTCATTTCTAAATCTATTTCAGTATATCTGTAGACGGTAGAGATAGTCAGTTACTGTATTTGAAAACTAAACGATTCCAGGGACCTAAGATAAATTATAGGAAACTCGTAAAATATTATTTCTACGGGTAACGGTCATGTGAATAGTTCTGAACAGCAACATAAAAATCATGTATGACTTCAGGCGTCTAATATCTGATATACATATATATAGTTTTAACCAGCCTGGACGAAAATGTTTAGAAGCCTCTTATTTTGCTAGTTTTAGCGAAATTCCACAAACAATCAAACAATTAGTACTGTCGTCGGCAATAAATAATTATACTTTTATCCGGAAAAGTTAACATATTTTGTGATGAATTCCCTCATGAGGCAATGATACTTTATGTTTTCAGAGGGCTGGGTCTCACAAGTTCGCCAATTTCAAGTTTAAATAGATTGGCAGTTTTGGCTGCATGCTCTGGTTTCGATTTCATGAACTTTTCAAGCCCCAATTTATCGAAGTGTTTGTCAAGAGTCAGGACGATTTCATTGGAATACGGGTAGGGATTTTCTCATGACGACATTGCTAGGCTTGCAGTTGGCCCTCTTCCAAATGAACAAACAGAATATCTGTACCCGGAATCTCTAGAAGATGAAGCAATATCGCCAAACCTTTTTCTGGGCGTTGACAAAGAGACGTATCTCTCTGAATATTACTCAATCAAGATATGAGCTGTCCCAACAGACATTATTTGCGGGTGGACTCATCACTGCTCATGTGTCTTGATCTTATTTCCGAGGAATATGGTGATAAAGTAGAAATTGTAAAAGGTTCTGGGTATCGTACACAGTCCGTCAACATGGTGAATTTTGACATTAGGCATGTGGAGGAAATGTATAGATTCCAAACAGGTCAGGCCGTTGAGTTGAGGCCACCTCGATATCGACATAATTCCGAATTAGTGTATTTGGCTAAGACATTGTTCAGATCCTGTACGCCCTTTCTGAGACAGGAGATGAGGGGGTTTAGTGTCAGGTGTCACCAGGATCGACTGTATGTGGATATCAGACCTCTTCAAGTTGGCAATGAACTGAACTACATCACACTGTGGAACACTGGGAACACTACCTACTACAGGCAGATATTGGACATACAAGAGGAGGAGTTGCTTCAGGGTGAGATAACTACTGGGTGATGTGATGATTCTGTCATAGTACTACTTACAAATTTACACCAAAATTAGGCCTAAATATTGAACTTGTAGGGCATGACGAGTTTTCCCCTTTTTGCGAACAACCGGTGTCATTACAGATTCTTAGCTATTTGCTATTTTGCCCTTTACACAAAAAGGAATGTATTTTGAAGATAGTCAAGACCAAATATTCTTTCGCACAGACGTTAATATTTTCAAATATCTATATTTATATCATTTCATGTTGCATAATTATTATTTTCAAACCAATGTTTTTTAAAGGTGGTCCTGTTATTCATCCTTTTGACAAAGGGATCTGCGACATGCATCCTCTAGGTAGTGCGAAACAATACCTCACCTTCCAGTTTCATCAAAATGGGTATGTAAGACGGAATGATTTCATGTGATATTGACAGTATTATATTAGAAATACTGTCCACGTATTAAGTTCAAAACGAGATTCGAACACACGAACAATGATACACCTGAGTGAGTGAGTGAGTGAGTGAGTTAATATTTAACGTCACATCGGCAATATTTCAGCCATATCGTGAGGAGAACATTTTACATTGTAATGGAATATGTATACATTATAAAACCTGTCATCGAAGGACAGTAAAACAACTAGAATATCACAATTAGATTTAAAACTAGTGTGGAAGGTTAAAACTAATAGCACGATTAGGACAATACAAGATAAAAACAGGCTATAGATCGCCAACAACTGAAGGTCGATCACCATACTAGGGACCATGGGGACTTACAGTACCTTGGCTACCTGCATGGACCCTAGTTGGATTTACACCATCCCTTCAGCTGCTGGCGATTGTAAGAAATGTTAGCTACAATTAAAATGACAAAAATGCTACGTTTAAAATCCTGGTAAGTTTAAATGGATTTTCGAAGTTTTGGGACTTACACGTACCCTCTCAGGGGACAATATTTTTACGATACTTCAACCCCCTTGAGAGTACAGCCACTAACAATCCAAGTTACTAATCAAACTACCAATTATTAAAACACAGCTATATACAGAACATATTAATCAAAATTCATTAATGAGAAATCAATTTCTTTTAAAAACCAAGAATTAAATGAAGATGAACAGAGTTAAAAGATCCTTAACAGTTTTAACATTGAAATATTTATCCCTTATGATGGAGAATTCAACACAGTCAAGCAGGAGATGCTTGACTGTGACTCTCATCAAAGGGATACAAAATGGAGGATCTGATACACCTGAGTGGTGCAACAGTGTAGAAGTGAATTGTGGCACCCCAGACGACTGGAGCATACTCATTGTAAAGAGTAACTGTCTTGAGATGAAATGCATATCTAGTGCTTACTTGAAACTGTATGTTCAAAGGCTATATCGTCAGAGTGTTAAATGCTGTTTGAATGTTTCGCCAGACTCTGCTCCACGACAGAGCAGCCGGCATTCTGCAATCAAACCTTACCATTCCGCAAGGAGGAGGCTCGAAAGTTGCAGGAGCGGAATGACTTCAGCTGCTGGATTTGGTCGCCTGCCCAGAGCGGACCTCAATCCAGACATACAGAAATGTCTTGTTGATTTGTGCGGGGGATGTCCGGCGACAGGTAACTTGGTTTATGTTTATGACATAAGGCACAAACCACAAAGGTACATATACGTCACAGATCAGTTACCATGATGGAGAATAATAGTAGTAGTTATCTACTGATAATTGATGTCTCCATTGTAACGGCAGAAATACATATTTTCTATACATATATTTGTTACAACTTGTAATTTGTTTGCATGTAATTTGATTCGTGTCATCTCAATGACAATTTGGTTTTATGGTTAGTTGTACATTTACAGGCTTCAACAAACTTGTTTCCAAGAAATACAACTCCTTAGATAGTTGTTCTGATAAACTGAACTATTTGCTACACGTTTGTGTTTCAGGTCCACTGTGGGATGAGAAAGTGAAAGCATGTTCTTTGGTTGTGGACAAGTTCATCAACCGAGCAACCAGAGCGTTCCCTGATCTGACAGACCGGGCGACCTTCTTTGACACCGAGACGGCAGAGTCCAGCGTCCACTCCCTTGCCTGTCATGATGGCAGCATCTGTGTTGAAAACATTCAGCTGTACTCTTTGTTAAGTAAGATTTCATTTCACCCAAATTTGTGAGGTGAGTTGAAATTGGGTTTAACGTCGTGCTGGAGAATATTTCGCTCATATGACGACTTAAGCTGGTTTTATAGTGCTAGCCCACTGAGATACCATGCCGAAGTGAAGCATGAAGCTGACTAGCCCTTGTTGTACCCATTAATGCCGAGCGCCCCCAAATTTGTGTTTATGTATGCTAAATGGATGCGGTAAACATTGTCTATTTATCACAAGAATCTCGATTGTTTGATTCCATCTATTCGGTGAGCATGTATATGACACCAGGTACCAGCCTGCAGTGGAAAGTCTATTGTTCACCCAACATAATACACGAGAAGACGACTTTCACATGTCTACTGTAAACCCTTTTGAGAGATGTAGTACGGCCTTGAGGTGGATGTCGCCCCTGTTGTGATAAAGCCATGTGGAGAAATATTCACATCATCATACGTGAAGAGACATTGTGTTTGGATGAACATAGTTTTGTTCTTTCAAACTCAATGAGGATTCATGGAAACGATTTCCTTAAATGAACACATATTTAATAATTAAAATACAATGATTTATGCCTTAAACTTGTTCTTCGCGGGAACATTATTGCATCTCTTTATTATATCATTAGCCAACTTGTAATATTGCTTGGTTCCAGTGCTGTTGATGACGTCACGTTATCCAACAGAGCCTTCGGGCAGTATTGAGGTTTTGATGTTCAGCTCCGAGAAGAATCCGATGCCATTGATGGAACTGGTGGAGCAGGAGATGGCTTACAGGGCTGCGGGCAGGGTTCGAGTCTTCGTAGATCACCAGGAAGATATTAAGAGCTTAAAAGGAATTCTGAAGGTAATCACGATTAGGCAGCATTATAAAACACATTTATCACAAATTTATGGATGATAAAGTTCGTACAAAGAAATATACTGTGTGCATTTTGTATTTCCAATGTTCACTTCAACAACACCGAGACTGGCATCAATTACAAGTCATGAGCGAATTGTGTGTCTCCACGTTACGGATAAATATGTTATGAGCTACACTGAATGGTTACATGTCCGTATCGCAGGTAGTGTTGTGTAGTTTGGCGTCAAGGCATAGGAACAATAGTCATGCAAAATAGTGTCACCTTTAACTGACAATGATTGACAAACGAAGATCAGCGGACATGCCCTGTTGCAGATTAAGCCATGAGAGTAGCTTCCCCAGGATGTGCCCGAAAGTAGATTCAAACAACATACTCCCTGTAACTACACATAGTGATGACTCTCACATACTGCACAGTTAATTTCTCATGGGTATTTTTTCGAAGGTTCTAATGGTCTACAACAAGAACGTATCTGAAGTCGAGTTCCATGTCTATGATGACCTTGACATTGATCTGATAAAGGCTGACGTGCAGCGCAACCTGGACGTGTGGGCAGGTCACACGTGTTCCGATCACAGCAGATTCGCAATATCACCCTTCACATTTCACCAACTGAGTCACTCCCGGAGGAAGAGAAGCCTTGCAAGGAGTCAACACAGGAATGAGGCTCGACAGAAAATATTCGACTGGGAGATGGAGTGGATGATGAAGCTTCTGTAATCCTTGAAATACATTTTGATATGATTATTGCAATAATATATAGGTTATTTTGAATAAGAATCAACCAAGGAGAACAATCTGTAAAACAGAAGGACACAGTTGCGTTGTACCTGTATGTGTGCTGTATGTTATCAAAGGTTACCTATCATAAGGACTTACCTAAACTGTCATTGCTTTTTCTATTCTTGGTTGGATAACACAACCAGAGATTTATCAATATTTAAGCTGATTGTTTGTTACAGACAACTTTGTATCATAATGTATTTACCCACAAGTGAAATAGCAGTGGTCTGATCTAAAGACTAATAAAACCTGTTATCAGTATAATTTTTAGCTAGTTGTTTTTATACCATGTATGGTCTCTTTCTCAAGAGACTTGCTTCATAGAAGACATTATACATAGGATTACAGTTGTGAGTGAGTGAGTGAGTCCAGCTTAAACGTGTATGGTGCTACTGAAAGAAGACAGAAGGAACGTGGGGTGGCTTCTGTTGTAACTAAACTGGCAGTGCCATCACTGTAACGAATCACATCATTGGAATCAGTCTCATTACAGCCTCAGGAGAGATCGAATTCATACCTTACATAGATCATCAATACTACGTCGTCCTTGAGACAAACTTCCATTAGGACTAGACATTCTGTAGCAGGTTGGGGTGAGTGAAACACACTCGACGGAACTTTCTGTTGATTGAGGATACCGGACGAGTGAGATGAGACTCCAGCACAACGATGATGATTATTCCATCAAGATTGAAGTACAATCTGGGGAACAATAGTGGGTTACGCAATTGGCACAGATGGGTAGGCATCATTCAGATCGTACGAATGTTTGGTATCGGTTCATGACAATCGTGTCGACTTCTGGGGATAGAATGGACGGAACAACGTTTTGTTCAGGAAAGCTCGTTGTCTTCGAAGCTTACCTCGACGAATAGCCGTCTAACCCGCTCAACCAAGCGATTAGACGGCTGACTTTGTGTGCTGGCGATTAGGTGCCTGACTCTGAGGGGTGTGGGTTCGAATCCGGATAGGACTTCAACCCAACAAAAGTACTAGAATTTTAATTTAATGAGAAATTGTAACCCCAAATATAACACGTGTTATATACATCAAATAGCCAATTCCCTGCCATTGAAGAGATATACTAGGCACATAAAGAAACTGTGCATACAAAATTTATAATCTAAATTTATCAAACCTGTATAGACACATAAGGATTTAGACTCAGAGGTTAGTGACATGTATCCAACATGCATGCACGTGCCACGTTCCGTGACGTCAGAGGGTTCGTCCTTGAGAGACGTGCAATACGTTGTTGCACGTGCATTCCGGGAAAGAGAAACAGAGCAAATGAATGCCACACAATACTATCACTTTGGAAAGCTCAACCTCTGCCCTTGCGATCGTTCAAAAACTTAAACGGCTAATGAAACGCATAGCATGCCAAGGCTCACGTCTGCACAAGGTCATGAGGCCATTGGGATGGTCCGTGGGGAATGTCTCAACGACAAGTGGCTGCACATTTCCACTGGAACACCATTTCGGCACTGGTGAGACGCTACCAGAACACAAATGGCGTCATCGATCGGCCACGTTCTGGACGTCCACGTGTAACAACGCCAAGACAGGACAGATGGATAAGGGTGACCCATCTTCGCCACAGGTTTCAGACTGCAGTGATGACTGCCCGAACCATCCCAGGACTTCGCCGTATCCACCCCAACAGTTCGACAACGTTTACGTCATCACGGGATCAGACCACGACGTCCCGCCATACGGCCTTATCCTGACACAACGTCATCGACAAGCTCGCCGAATGTGGTGCCGAAATCATGTCCGCAGACCCTTGTTTTGGTGGAGAAATGTTGTTTTACCGATGAGTCCAGGTTTAACATTTCCCATAGTGATCGACGTCAACGTGCCTATAGACGCGTGGAAGAACGTTATGCACAGGCCTGTGTCTTGGAGAGGAATCGCTTTGGTGGTGGTTCCGTAATGATTTGTGGTGGAATAACAGCACGCCCAAGAACTCCTTTGATGATTGTTCAGGGCAACCTAACTGGTGTGGGCTACAGGGATCAGATTTTTTCGACCTGTGGCAATCCTTTTCTGCAACGTCATGGCCCTGGGTTAACATTCCAACAGGACAATGCCCGCCCTCATACGGCAAGGTTTGCTATGGATTTCTTGCAACACCACAACGTTGACTTACTGCCCTGGCCTGCAAATTCACCGGATCTCTCCGCATGTTTGGGACGTGATGCATCGACGTCTACGCCGTCTTCCTCATCCGCCAGATAACGTCCTTGACCTTGCAACAGAACTTGAGAGAAGCTGGCGTGACATCCCACAAGCCTTCCTTGCACGTTTGATAGGCTCTATGCGTCGTCGATGCACTGCTGTTCTCAATGCCGATGGTGGACATACCCGTTATTGAGCTTGTGACATGGTCGTTTGACCCCTGTCCCGCTTGTGGACTCGTGACGTCATTGTGATTGACTTTTCAATTGAAATTCTCCCGACTTGTTATGGTCTCATGATCCCTCCATTAAAGTTTATATGTACCTTTGACATTGTTATCGTACTTAGCAACTGGGATCATATTTTGACAATGCACAGTTTCTTTACGTGGCTAGTATATATCTACTTGAACTTGAAATTACGGCAACATGTGAGTCCCCTCAACTGTTTCATATTTATATCTATGCATAAAGATTAACAGGGACAATAAACTCCCACACGGCTGTATGACAGAAGAGGTGATTTCAACTTCCCTATAGTCAACTTTCCTTCATGTCGAACAATATTACAACAGCTCCAACCTTCGGTGTTCACAATTGTTGAGGGACAATCAAGCATGCTCCTCTATTAATCATGATTTCGTACAGTTCTTGCTCAGAAGTTGTTTGATCAAGGTAACAAGATTCAAAGCCCACACGAAGCTTTCGAAAGGTATTATGATAGAAATGTGGAGGGCATTTTATACTTTGATGAATCTGTGAATAAAATATATGCCCGATGTAATTCTATGTTTAAACATGCACCATCAGTTCCCAATTATCTTCAGGTGAACTGTTGACTAGGCTTTTTGAACATGTTTATGATCAGTACAACTAGTCGAGCAGGATACGCTCAACCTTTCAACACCTGGTATCATCACTATTTGATAGTGATTCCTAAACACATGTTCTGTCACTGTATATTATGACGTCAATCACTTGATTGTCTGGTCCTGACACGATTCTTTACAAACTGCCGTCATTTAGATATAATAATGCTGAATGCGGCGTTCATCAAGCAAACAAACGAATATACAAACACCGATGATATGGTCAGAATTGTACAATCGACTCTGCTTTCAGCAGTGATTGCATACGTATGTGGAGTGAGTGAGTTAAGCAATATTCCAGCTATATGGCGGTGGCCTGTAAATAGTCGAGCCTGGACCAGACAACCCAGTGAGCATGAACATCGATTTGCTCAATTGGGAACCGATGACATGTGCCAACCAAGTCAGCGAGCCTGACCACCCGATCCCGTTAGTCGCCTCTTTGACAAGCATCGGTTACTGAAGGTTCATTCTAATCCGGACCTTCACGGGTTCGTATGTGGAAAGGGTTCAGTCGCTTCTATATAAGGAATAAGAACATCGGGTATTTGCGCAAAGGGATAATATTACTTCACATATGCTTAGTACACGCTATATTGTGAAGGCTGCTTTGTGCAAGCATCCATCACGTAGTTTCCATTCAGTTCCTGCAATCTCATGCCTGCTGACGAGCTAGCTGACCCTTCTCGTGTTGTAGTCAGCACATCGATGGTTTTATACACGCACGCAGACGCACGCACACACCCACGCACATATATATATTTTAACTCACTCACTCACTCAATAAACACACACACATATATATATATATTGAAGAAATTATATCTGTACAAGGATCTTGAGACTTTTGTCTTTTGTGTATAAATATATTAACAAAAAGTACATCAGCGGCTTAAGTGTCAGGTTACGGTTCATTAATATACATGTAAGACCAGGCGACGTCATGACTGTAACCCAACCTTTCAGTGCTGGACGTAATGCTCCTAGACGGACATATATTATTTTCTGGGGACGTTTACTGTCTTAACAGAAGGGTGCGTTGTGAAACATTAAGCAACACCAAGCAACGTGCCACCCTGCCCGTTAATCTTAGAAAGCTTGGTATAAAACATAATCGATATGCCTTCCACTACACCGTGATAAGTGATTACAGCGATATATGGAATGTTTACATTGTGGAGTCTAGTCGACGTGATCGATTAACTAAAATATTAGCGTCTTGCTTGAAGTAGGTAAATATGTTACTTATCATTTAATGCGACCGTAACTCCATACGTGACTACACAAACATGTAATACTTTGGCAGGACAGAAACCGAAACATGAGGGTTTGCTGATAAGTTTCGACAGACAGGAAGAGCACCTGGGAGAATCAGGATGTTTGCCTTTGTCTGTGCATACTGTGACAAAGGTAATCCTTTTAGAGTATATGAAATGGTGTCGCGTGTGTTATTAACCTCCCATATCGCCCTGACGCGGCTTTCAGTGTGAGCTATTCCACCATTGTTTAGTTATAGAAGTATTTTTATGTTGATTGATTATCTTAGTGTTGATAAACCAATCGATTAACTTCATGAACTGTCGGCTAAGCACAGGAGATACGGATAGATAATGGCATTTTACCTCCCTGTAGAATAAAACCTGAATGGTATTCACCTCACAAGATTTCAGACACCAGACATTCAATGATAGCCCTGAATACGTCATGTTATTGAGCATACACCAAGGTACCTGTTCCCTGTGACATCAGGGTAGGTGGGCTAACCTTATAGTAAGCGGTTGCACATAACACAAAGTGCATGGGTTCGACTCCACACATTGGTACAGTGTGTGGGCTCTATTTCTAACGTCCACCTTTGATATCACTGAACAATAAGTGGCATCTGATAACACTCACTCACTCACATGACACCAATTCCAGTGTTAACTATGTCTAGTAAGCATATGAATTGTCCCATAACAACTAGAAATGCCGTTTTCGAGTCTTTGAAAAAAGATAATAAGCTTAATTGACCAGTTGTTCTCTCCAAAGAAACCAAACAACCAACGGTAATGCTTGGGACAAATATCTTCCGCCGTTCTCTTGAAGGCCTCGTACCCTGTCCGTTATCATTACTAGTCTAAGCAGCCTCTGAAAAGATTTTACCAAAAAGGGCATCACCAAGTGAGACTGGCAGATGGCAAGTCATGGGAATGCTAGATTCCGGTACCT